ACTGCAAGGGCACCCTTATGTAGTGAATCGCGAAATGCATCGCGAACGGAATTGCAGAGTGGGTACGAAGCTGCACCGTTCAGAAGCCGTGCATCTCTGTTCCAAGTACGTGGGCGCCGAAAAAGGACAATGTCATTTTTGTTCGTAGGGCAGATGTCTATTTCTGATGAATAATCCCATTAATGTTTGCTTCTATGCGGTTACAATCTTAGATTCGTGTTGGCTCGTGGCTGGCATTAATATATATTCGCTTTTTCATTTATGCTTCATACATTTTGGCAGTTCTGTATAGCATAGTTTAGATTACATCGCATACATAAGTTTCATTGAATATTTATGTGAAAGCAAAAGTGCTCGGATGGTGTCAATTCTGTATTAACCACCATCTCGAACCTGCGGTTAACCATACAACGAATTCAGAGGAGAATAAACAGAAGCGAACGAGAAAAATGTCTGAGAATTACGCAGTTCAATTAGGAATAGGTTTATGAGTTGGATTTAGAGTTAGGATTGGAATCGCGAGGGGTAGATGAATATGCTCTCGGTCATCACTAGTTACGATGTAAATGGGTGTGAGAGAGTAGTTTTTTAAAAGGTTTTAGTAAAACCCAAGTGCAGATGGCTTACTGTAACTTCTAACCTAACTAGCTTTCGACTATTTTTGCAAAACGCTGCCTGTACAGGTACACAGAAAAGATTCCGGGAAAATCCTGGTCGCAAATATTATTTGAACGGACAGCATCTTGCAGAAATAGTCAAAAGCTGGTTGGTTAAAAGCTGTTGCATGCGTCCTTTGCAGAAATCTTGAACATTCCCTTACGCGGAGGCAAATAGTACATATATTCCCATAGATTCCCATAGATATCAATGCGAATCCTGTCCGAGAGCTTTTACCCTTCACCTGAAAGGGTCCTAAATGCCTAACATCAAATTTACACGGAATTCCCAGAATAATGAAAACGGTCTCTGCCGAATGCCTTTTTTGAGGTGAATCTACCATCAGGTTCTTTAAAAAGTTCTGTTGGGTTCTCTTGATACTTTGGCATCTGTTAGATATATCCTTCTACTTTGGAGGTTTTGCTTTTTGGGCCTCAACCCAGACCAGCCCACCGTATTCCCCTTTTTCTTCGGATGCTTAGTTGAGGCCTGTTATGATTTTCCTGCTCCTTCGGCGCGGTCGGTTACGGAGCGTAATAGACATGCAATGTTTGCTGAGAAATGTTGGGAATCTTTCAGTATCATCTGTCAGGGTTGGATTGGCAGCGGTGAAGTAGTGGCAAGTGGTGCTCTACCTCACCTTCACCTGTGCTTGAGAGGTTCAAATCCTGGATCGATACCAGTGCAGGCCATCTCATTCAAGTGGAGTTGGTCAGCTGGTATCATACTCAGCTGTGAGAATAAAAACCTCAAGATGTTTATCGGCTAGGCCCCACAAGTTACTGGATAGACCAATATATGACACAAAAGCTCTAGAATAAGTATGACATGGCCTCAAAAAATCAAATTTTTTTTTGCAGTGTTCGTAGAGTACAATGTATTTTCCAAACAAATGCCGTAAGTACTGCTGTTGTTATGACGACGTAGATACAAAAGTTGGAATAAGTTGGACATGAACATAAGAAGAGATTTGTATTATCTTTCGTCAAAGTTACACTTTCGAACAGCTGAAGGTTGTCAACAAGCAACACAAAAAGAAACTAAACAGCACCAATTATAAAGATGAGATGAGGCTGAGATAGTGTGTTGACAAGAGAAGTTGTTGGAGGATCTGTTCGACAGTGTAAAGACACCTGTTGAACATTGAGGGGAGGTTATGGTTCATACCAAAGAACGCCAGTATCTTTTTCGATGCCAAACAGAATCCAACTCCATGGTGTGTCCTTAGGGGATTGATCACCGTGAAAGATAACGAAAAATAGAGAACATGTCAGCCAACGGCATGAGCTTTGCCGTTTGTTGCCGTCTATCATAGATGTCAGGTATGCTTCACGAGGTCTATCAACAACCACCTGGTCTGCCCCTTTCCTGTTGTCATTGAGTGCCTCTCCAGAGATCGCCGTGTCGATGTCCACAACACGGCTCCACTCTGGAGATAACCTGTCACGTTGACGAGAGTTTTTTCCTACTGGATGCAATTTGTCATTGCTCATTCTGAGCTCAGAAAAACCCATCGACTGAGGGTATGGCATCATGCTAAGAAAACACGACATTCTTCAAAACTGAACAAATAGAAATCCGTCAAGTTGAGATTTTCTTTCGCACTTTCTCCTCTTCCTCTGGTAGCACTTTGAATGTCCTACGACTGCTAGGAGTCTGGCATGTTTACAGATTACGGACATGAAGGATGGAGAATTGAGTTTTTTGGTCGATCCCATTTGGGGATATACTTGCGCTTTCGACTTTCTCCTCAAGCAACGGTCTAGTACATATATGACCTGTGAAAAAGCTTGCGTAGGTGGAGACCAGACAGTATTCAAGTCGGCACTTTTGGCGTTGTGTAGTTTCAGTTAACTGACTTGAAAGTGTAGGAGTTTAGAACAATAGGTCTGGTTGATCCGATGACCCAAGTTTTGACTCCCGTAGCTGTTGTCTCGAGAACACGATTACGTTCTCTAAGCTTGGTGGTACCTGGGACTGTTAAAACACTTTGGTAAGCAGTTACCACATACATCCTTACCTTGAACGGTAGAACGGCTTTTGCTTCTGTCATCCTTCAAAAAGAGTCTCCATTCCGTTTCAAATTTTTGGCGTGTAACTGATAAGAAGCTGAAACTGAAGGGACAATATGGGAAAAAGTACGTGCCGCTGTAGTAAGGTTCAATGATTTATTGATATTATTGGACCTAAAGGCAACCTCATCAAATTATTTATGTGTTCACTGCAAGTCCGAAGGGCATACTATGACCAGGTGAATAAGTAGTCCTACTGCGCAATCTCGAACCGAGAAAGGAGGACATTTTCACATTTTTTTTTCTGTAATATTTAACTTTTTTCCAATGGACTGGTAATAATTAAATTGATGAGCACCAATTACTTCGAGGCGAATAATATCTAGGCAAGTCAAACACTCCAAAAGGTATCAGATTCACAGTCAGAACTGGTCTGACTGGTCATGCAATAGCACTTTTGTTTTTCTGCCAGGAAAGCGCGGGCCTAACTTTGGATTGTGCCTGAACCATGTGCCCACTTCGTTGTGTCTACTCCTTTGATCAGGACTGCAATCTTTCATGCGCTCGCTTAATAGTTTCACCCTGAAAAGCTCGCCAAGACGAAATTCAATATCAACAAATGGGGCCTAGAAAGGGCATGGCTTTCAGTTGCAGCAGTGTGCAAGTGATTGACTGAACGTTTCAAAGAAATTCAGCTTTTTCCATTCCTACCGTTTAACTTACACTTGGGATAATGACATCTTTTGAAACTGGAGTTGAGTATTGGCCAAAAGGCCAACATGACGAGATATCCGAAGACGTGATATAGGATTCTCCTTTCGAACATGCCTACAGCTTACAAAATCAAAATTTTCAAGAAAATTATTTGCTGTAATTAACTTTCCGGAGCTATGATGGCAGAAATTGTGATCTGGGCGTAGAATTTCAGAATCCTTCACGGTCTCAGTTCTCTCTGACGTGGATAGTCTGGTATGAGAAACGCTCGAAAGGCCATATGCATGA